CACAGACCGCCGGTTTGAGCCTGGCTTGGGTTCACCTTATCCCCAACGTGACAATTCAGATTCCATTACCTCCATAAATGTTTAACACCCTTTCTCACGGGTTTTCATCTTTGCACTTGGGTCTGCCTCCCTGCCATCCCGTAACAGCTCATGTTTTCATATCACTACCAAAATAGAGTTTTAGTCCATGGGCGGAGCCTTATTGATGATGAGGATGAGGATGATGATGATAAAAGTTTGTATGTCATGGTTAATGAGATGTCAATTTATTACTATACATTATGTTGAATGTTGTGCAGATATGTTGCTCATGCTTTACTGTGTTGGGCTGTGGGGTAGTGATGTCATTGTTGGCGCCTACCATGAAGGACAGTTGTATGCCACAGTGTTATTAAAGTAGCCATCCTTCATATTTAAAATACTGCTAAGTTAAGGCTGCCGTCCAGCCAGTTAGACCACCTAACTAAATCACCTGCTCGCTCTTTTGACACCCCTCTACCCCCCTGTATACGAAAACGTGTGTTCTGTACACTGAAATGCTTCAGTGTGTATGTGTGTCTCATCAAGCCTCAAACTGAGGGGCAGAACCAATTTGAGCGGCGCCATCTAGTGGATGAGACAAGAAGTCTATAAATCATTGTTTACTTTATCCACTAGATGGCGCTGCTCTTTACAACGTTTGCTGACAAGATCAGAGCCAGTGAACTCTGGTTCTGCTCTTAGTGAGAGTCCACATACTCTATATAAAGAGACTATATTCCTAAAAACAAAAGTAAATTGCAAAAGCAAATTATTGCATAATAATGATATTAACAATAAGGCATTGTATTTTATATAATATTTATTTTAACATAAGAAAATGATTTATCTATACTACTACATCTACCATCAATAATAATAACAAAACCATAATAATAATGATAATATTAATGATAATGTCCACTTGTGGAATCAATGCCACATCAAGTTGCTGCACTTCGCTGGTCTAGAGGGGGTCCTACACGATACTAGTTCCTGTCCCATGACTTTTGGCATGTCAGTGTATTTCAGTGTATTTTGCTGTGTGCCATATGGGCCTCTTCCAAATGCTGTGCACTGTCTATGTGAAATCTCTGACCTGTCAACATGGGCATGAAAATGAAAAGTGAGATGTTCTGCTTCTGTCTCAGCACAGAGGAAGAGTTTCACATTAAAATTATCTTCACTTAATAATGACACTCAATTAACACAATGAGCAGATCATACTCATTCCCCAGTATGTGATCTGCTAATAATATTATGAGACAACAACATTGCAAAGCAATTACAAGTGTATGATAATGAAAACAAAATAAATTATTTATAATTCATGTATATATACACTATATTTCCAAAAGTATTCAGTCGACTGCCTTCACACGCATATGAACTTTCTTAATCCATAGGGTTTAATATGATGTCGGCGCACCCTTTGCAGCTATAACAGCTTCAACTCTTCTGGGAAGGCTTTCCGCAAGGGTTAGGAGTGTGTTTATGGGAATTTTTGGCCATTCTTCCAGAGGCGCGTTTGTGAGGTCAGACACTGATGTTGGATGAGAAGGCCTGGCTCGCAGTCTCCACTCTGATTCATCCCAAAGGTGTTCTATCAGGTTGAGGTCTGTAGTGATTGACTCTGCAGAAAGTCGGTGACCTCTGCGCACTATGCGCCTCAGCATCTGCTGACCCCACTCTGTTATTTTACGTGGCCCACCACTTTGTGGCTGAGTTGCTGTCGTTCCCAATCGCTTCCACTTTGTTATAATACCACTGATAGTTGACTGTGGAATATTTAGTAGCGAGATATGTTTGTGTATATATATTGCCAAATGCATTCAAAATTTGTGTAATTGGAGCTCAGAATTTCAATATAACCAGCTATTATAAATATAAATCAAACAAAAATCATGCTTGTTCACATCACCACCACAGTAAAGTAAATATGAGCCAGTAAGTTTCTCCACAATAAACTATTTCACCTCAAAATGCTTAGTTTTAAATGAAATTATGCATTAAATTATGTAGTTATTAAAAAAATAAGTGGAACTACCCTTTAAAACAGTAAAGTAAATGGCTAAATAATGGCTAAATTAAATGTTTTATCTTGTTTTCTACTTGCTTCAAACTTGTTGTTATTCTTTCAGTGCTTCAAACTCGGAGGTCAACACAAACGGCTATAGTCCTTTATGGCTGCTCTGTAGATGTATTCTCTATGGAGCACGGTCCATTCACTGTAGTATTATAAAATCATACATAATTAGTACCTAATAATGTTGACCAAAACTTTGGTCTAAAGCTTGGTCCACCTGATCAGGATGATGTGTTTTGCCTAAAGAAGGCCCAGACACGGTCCAAGACACACTTTCAATGAAATGTAAACACAATATATTCAGAAACATGCAAAGGCAAGTACAGTGGAGAATGAATCTCTCCTCTTACATTAGGCTACCCGTGTCAATATCAGTGAGAAGGCTGGTGCAAAGGAAACATTAAGCCCATTTATGTTGCTTCCTCTGTTGTGTTAAATATTGATGGGAGCAGTAAAACGATAAAAGCTGCTTCCAAGAATTCTTTTGGTTTCTCTGTAAGCTCTTTGAGGGTCTCTCGAGGAGGGAAATTCACAGCATTCCCACAAGACTGACCACTCCTCTATCAAGCAGATGAGCACTCTCAACCCAATAAATAAATAAATAAATAAATAAAATAGGGGGAGCAAGCTTTCTGTGCAATGTATAGCATGTTGTTTTGAAGTCTTGAGAGCATGTATTGCATATATAAAATAAGAATTGCAGAAATGGAAATATTTGAACAATATACATACACCGGTCAGGAATAACATTATGACCACTTCCTTGTTTCTACGCTCATTGTCCATTTTATCAGCTCCACTTACTATATAGGAGCACTTTGTAGTTCTACAGTTACAGACTGTAGTCCATCTGTTTCTCTGCATACTTTGTTAGCCCCCTTTTACCCTGTTCTTCAGTGGTCAGGACCCCCATGGACCCTCACAGAGCAGGTACTATTTGGGTGGTGGATCATTCTCAGCACTGCAGTAACACTGACGTGGTGGTGGTGTGTTAGTGTGTGTTGTGCTGGTCTGAGTGGATCAGACACAGCAGTGCTGCTGGAGTTTTTAAACACCTCAGTGTCACTGCTGGACTGAGAAAAGTCCACCAACCAAAAATATCCAGCCAACAGCGTCCTGTGGGCAGCGTCCTGTGACCACTGATGAAGGACTAGAGGATGACCAACACAAACTGTGCAGCAGCAGATGAGCTGTTGTCTCTGACTTTACATCTACAAGGTGGACTGACAAGGTAGGAGTGTCTAATAGAGTGGACAGTGAGTGGACACAGTGTTTAAAAACTCCAGCAGCACTGCTGTGTCTGATCCACTCGTACCAGCACAACACACACCACCACCACCACGTCAAAAAAAAATAAAAAATTGCCGGCATGCACAATGTCTCCCTCTTCACCAATACGAATACATAAAGAACAATATGATCAAATACAATGTTTAATTAACACTTTTATTTTTTTAATAATATTAAGTACAACAGACAGTTCTTCAGCCAGCAAAGTTTGTTTACAGTAAGCTTTTAACAAAGACTTTAATATGGCTTTGAACATAACTCAGCCAATCAGATTTCAGAATTCATTAATATTAAATTATAGGTAATGAAACAATCAATATACAACAAAGCACTTTTAAATAGTAATATATGTCATCATTGTGCAGTGTTTTGTTGTAGCTGTAGTAGAGATGCCTGATGTTATTTGATAATACATCTGGCTTAACGACAGATCAGAGATAGTAATGCGGAGCAGTCAGGGTTAACATAATGCACAGCTGAGTATGTTAGCTTGGTCCTAACATGTCAGTGCACATCTCATAGAGGTGCTACAATAGCATTATCATAGTAGTGATGAACCAAGGCTTCTTATAAAGTGAAGGTTTCTATGTGAAATAGTGATGGGAGTTGATGGGAGAGAAATATGTACAGGGTAGTGATACTCCAGGACCAGTGTTGGGAACCGCTGCTCTAATGCAGTATTTCTCAACTCTTTTTTTTTCCCTGCTCCCAACACACTAATCAGCTCATTAACAGCCCATTATTGAGTTAAAGTGGGTGTGTTAAAGCAGGAAAAGCACTAAAATGTGGAGGACAGTGGACCTCCAGGACCAGGATTGAGAAACAGAGCTCTAATGTATGCAGCACACCAACAGTGGCCCTATGAAAACTTCATCACGTTGGAAAGTACCTGGATTTACACTGATTTTCACATCAAATTCACTAATCGTTCATAAATCGTTAAGTGTATAACATATACAAACGTATAAACATCTGTGCGTTTCATAAATGTGGCTCTGGAAAGTTTGTTTTCGGAAACGTCTTTCATAAAAAGTGTTGAAATATAAACAGACCAACAACTTTTAGTTTCAATTCAAATCAAATCATGATGTGATGAGGTGAAATGAATGAAGGCATGACTTCACTGGGCACTGAACACCTCCTCGGATCAGTACCTCCTCCAGGCTGAATCTCAGCATTCAGAAGCTCAAGCATGATGTAGATTAAGTCGAGCTTGTACACTGAAACTCACAAGCTCAAAAAGAAAATAACTGTCGTATGAGAAACATAAACCGTGAAAAATTATACAGCATTGCATAATTCATCGCTCTTTGGTTAATATGTGAGATGAATCCAACTGTTTGTCCAGAAGCAGTTCACTTTATTAAACATGAAACAGAGACATTTACAGATTTACATCCACAGAAGCATCGTAAGACAAATCGATGCAAAAAAAAAAAAAGACTAATAAACCAGATTGCAGGAGGCAAAGGCTCAGGGGAGTAAACTAATGATGGGAGATGTGAGGTGGTGGAGCCAGGATTGGGAAACTGTGAGCAGTTTTAAAGGCTGGACCACATTTGTGGGAGATTCTAAAAAGCCTCCATGAAGCCACACCCCCTTATATCAGATTTATATGTCTACCCCCTACCCCCTCCCTGCTTTCATCACATTTGAAACCTCTCAGATCCAACAATGAAGCTGCAAGTAACACTGGCACTGATCTCTGTGCTTCTTCCACAAGGTATGGAACATGACTTACAGAGCACAGAAACGTTTAAATGTGGTGAATTTGTGTCAGTTTAGCTTCTTTAGAATATCATTTATCTAAGCTGCTGCGACTGTATTGTTAAGGAGTCTTTTACATTAGACTTTTTCAGTACAATATTATGTGGTACATTATTGGAGGTTAATGTTTGAACTTCAGTCAATGTTGCTTGATTGTCCATTACTGAACTTTCCTGCCTGACTTCACTGCCCTCTAGCACTGGCGCTGCAATGCTATATTTGTATACCAGACCTGTCTGGTACATGTACAAAGACACAGAAGGACTGTCCAGATCAGTGTGGCAGCAAAACTACCGTCACGAACGTTGGTAAGAATGTTCTCAGTATGAAAAGCTGAGAGTCAGTCAGATATTTCTCCATTCACTTATGTGCTGTGTCCACTAGGTGGTCAACAACAGGAGTTTAATTGGAATTATTGCACAGTAGCCAGCGAGTGTGTCAATGGGAGCATCAACCTGGGACTTTTGAAAATGGCCTTCAACTCAAAATGCTGCAGCACTGATCTCTGCAACAGCCAGTTAGTGCCAGGTAAAACCAAAAGCTTCGAGTACTGAATGAGGAATGCTGACCATAAACTTCAACGGCAGAACTGCAGAAAACATCCTGTTAAACCTCTTCTTATCACTTGTTTGTCTGTTAAGCTTTACCACAAGGGTCTCCAAATGGGAAGAGGTGTTGTGCTGATAAACACTGCACAAGAACCATGAGCTGTGAAGGAGATGAAGATCACTGCGTCAGTGCGACAGGTGAAAGCTGCATACTCATCAGTTATTCCAGAATGTTATCATATGCACATTTTTGGCCTGAAATAAGAGAGGTGAAGAAAATTTCTTATCATGGTGCTGAGACTGTTGTTAGAAAGTTCGGTAACACTTTCTATGAATGTCGCATTTTTAAGCATCTATAACACATTTATAACATGTTATAACATATTCATAAGGCATTATAAACCTGGTTCTAAATATTTATTAAAAAGAATTACACTGAAATACACTTTATAGCCATGTTTATTATACATTATGAATTGTCAAAATAATGCATTATAAATAGTGTTAATAACATGTCATAATGTCAGTGCCAAAGAAGTCAGTCCCAGCTTGGAGAGCGTAAAGTAAAGACAAATACCAAGCTAACGGTGGTGTACATTGACTTTCCCACATTGGGTAAAACACTGATGGCAGCACTAGTTTAAACTCTGACATTTGAAGCCTGTAATGTGCTTTATTGTGTATGTTTTAGTGTTTCAGTAAATTCTTCAGTAAATATTTCAACTTGAAGCCTCACTCTTAACACTGGAGGAGGCTTTAGTACAGTACGCTTCACTGTACTTAGAGCGGACAAATACGACTTATGAGCTCTTATAATTTGTTATGAACAGTACTTATAATGTATTATGTTAACAATTCATAATGCACAATAAACATGGCTATAACATATAATGCATTTTAATAAATGTTTATAGCTATGTTTATAATGCCTTTATTATTTATTTATTTATTTATTTATTTATTTATTTATACATTTATTTATTCCTGACATCCTCATTTGTGTGGGTTTATGTACCAACAATATTCATTTTGCACAACCATTTTGCAGCCTCTCTTTATCTGTCCGACTGTTTGTGTAACTTTAAGACTGATATATCATCACTGTGGGAACCAAATCTCCAAAAGGGAAAAAAAAACTGTCAATGAAAAAAAAAAACTAAAAACTAACAACTAAAAAATGGCAAAAATGGAGATACAGGGTTTTGTCCCCAAAGTGATGCTGTCCTGATTGGCTGTGCTGCATTATGCCTCATACAAAAAGCAATCCATGCTCCTTACAACTGCAGGGTCAGTGAGTGGAGCTAAACTGCTGTGGACTGAACAGACAGAGAGATGTGCAAAGCCTAGAGACCCAAAGTGGAAGAAACGTGGAGAGGCGTCTGACTGCGGACTGGACTCTACACAGACGCTGACTTTTTAGATGAGATTAGATTAAGGTTAAGATTAGATTAAGTGACCTTTATTATTCCCACAACGGGGAAATTTCACCTCCGCATTTAACCCATGCGTGCGGTAAAACACCACATACACACTAGTGAAAACACACTGTAGGGGGCGGTGAGCACACTTGCCCAGAGCAGTGGGCAGCCCTATCCACAGCAGCTGGGGAGCAGCTGGGGGTTAGGTGCCTTGCTCAAGGGCACCTCAGTCTTGTACTGTTTTCCTGCGATTGGATTCATTTCCATAAATTTGATACACAGCAGCGTCCTTAAATGTCTGTTAATCTGCTAACGCTCGGCTTATTTTATTAGACAAGTTCACCTCCAGAAGCTGGAAACAAGTGAACAGCATCAATGTGCCCTCATTTAGCACTTAAACGGACCCTTTTTTGATCATGGTAGCAAAATAAAAGAAACACAGCTCTCTCTATTTGAACGTTTTTTAACATCTTCTGCAGGTAAAACAAGCACAACATTCACCAGAAGGCTGAGTTTCGCTTGTTATTCACCAGCTTCATATTAGAATTTGCCATTCCACCTTCAGTGGTGCAGCAGTTAGGCACCCTTGTTTCATCATGAAGCAAAAACATCCAGGAAATGTGAACATTACATGGCTGTTTGTTATTGATTGTGTCAACCTTTCAGCCATACAGCCTTCCTTGAACTTTTTTCCATAGTTTCAATGTTGCTTGACGTCGATTTTGTTGTGTTGGCAGTGAAGGGGATCATGGTTTTGAGGGGGAATTGAATTGGATGCAACGCCGGAACATTACTACTGCACCATTCAAGGTGGAACAGAAAATTTGAATAAGAAGCTGCTGTTGAAAAAAGTCAACATTAGCTTCATCAATTCACCATCATTTTGCTGTCTTTTTGTCTTTTCTGTAAACTTTGTTTAGCTCTGTCATTTCTGATGTCATCTAAATTCAGTATAGTGGTTATTTTTAGTTGGTTGAGCTAGTTTTGTTGTCTCATGTGTATATAATGTGTGTGTGTGTGTGTGTGTGTGTATTACACACACACACACACACACACACACACATATATATATACATATAATTTCTAAAAGTCTTTTATTCCAAAATAAATATTTTTTTTCTAGAGATGGGCCCTTTAAAGTGAAAGCGAAGGGAAATAAGTGGAGGGGAAAAATACTACCACATTTCATCTGATTTTTCTCTTTTAATCTCTTTTAATCTTTATATTCATCTAAGTAACTCCTCCCTCTCTCTCACCTACGACTACATTCACAGCTACAGCTGGTGGTGTTCAGGTGACTATGAAAGGATGTGCGAGCAGAGGTTTCTGTACTGCACATCCATCGGACATAGAGGAAGCAGGAATTGCTGGAGATGTGAGCTGCTGTGAGGGGGATCTGTGTAACAGTGCTGAGAGGGTTAAGCTGAGTCTCCTCATCATGCTGGTTCCTCTGATCTCCTCCATCCTCTTCATCTGAACTCTCTGCTGCTCAAGCATCTTTTGAGACTAGCATAAGTGTATATATTACATTGTGACTGAATGGAGAGTCTGAATGTTGTTTATAACAATGTTCTGTGTAACCAGGGTCTTTTCACTAGGCAAAAGTAGGCAGCAGCCTGGGGCCCACATTAGGCAAGGGCCCCATGAAAATACAGACTATGTATACTGTCCATGCTGATGTTGAAGAACAGTCTGTTCTACTGAACTAGCTCAAACTGCAGGACTACATTAAAAATAAATAAATAAATAAATTAATTAATTAATATTTATTGTGAGCTTAGATGTTTAAAAGGATTGTGTTATTATCTATTAAAACCCCAAGACATTATTTGAGGTCATAATAAGCTAATTATATACTCTCCTGGGCAAAAAAAAGGTCTATCTCAATTAAAATGGCAAAACATGAAGTTTTATATAGTCTTAACAACAAACCGTTTAACAAATAGATGCAGTAGTTTGATATGATAGAGCTTTTCTCTTTGATTGCTTTACATGTTGAAGTTTTGTGTGTGTAAATTTGCAGACAGCCTTTTTACAGAAAGAAGAGTCAGTATTTTTCCACTAGTATTGACGGCTTCGAAACAACTGAAAAACACTGCTGAGCTAGTTTGTTTTTAATGTGAGACCAAATATTCTCTATAGTGTTTAAATCTGGACTCTCACCAGCCAAAAACCCCAGTACAAACCATTATACTTTGGGCTTGGCCCATATTTTTTGCCCAGGACTGTATAAAATAATCAGATTTTGGGTACTATTAGCTATCGGGAGGAATCTGTTTCAAATCTGTCGCAATCTGTCCTTTAGATCTTTTTTGATTTTAAAGTGAAGTTGAAAGATTTAGACTTATAATTAGTTCAATTAAAAACAAAAAATATTCCTTTATTCAGAAATTGCTGTTCCATGTTTTCATGTCGTTACTGAAGCACTAAGAGTTTTAGTCCATAGTTCGAGCCTTAGTTTAGCCACACCCCTGCATTTTAGAGCTGACTAGCACTAGACTGACCCCCCCAACCTGTGCAAACTTACTGTGCTGTGAAAAAGTCTTTGTTCCCACCTGATTTCCTCACATTGTCACATTAAATTATACAAAATGTAATATAAGACCAGAAGCACATGAGAAAAAGACAAAAACACTAAAACTGTCATTTTATGTACTGAAGGTAAAAAGGTTTGTAAGGTTTCCTTAATGTGGTGCACTGGAACCTTAGGAATGGCTTTTTTAATGCTTTCCAGATATATTTCAATATGTGTACTACTTGAGACCTTTTAACCTATTTTGCTTTGCTGGAAAGATTCAACTTTTTACTTTTTTAAATATTACATATTATGTCTAGAATCAACAGGGCTGACAGTGGTGTTGTAGCACATGAGTCTGTCTTGGTCTCAAGAGCGTAAATTCATGGTCTCGCTCGTCTCATTCTCAACATCATTTGGACTTGGAAATTGTTCTCGAGACCAGCTGAGCACAGCGCCTCCTTCTGAGGTAACTGGTATCTGAAGTTTCTATGATAAATGAACATCAACAAAACCTTCAACAAAACCTGGTCGATTAACTGGGTTTTATTTGTTTGTTGATGTCCATTGGTTCCAAAATGGATGCATCTTTCTTTAAAATAAACTACAAATGAATTTCATTTATTTATTTTTTTTCTCTTTTATTGTCTTGGTTGGTGTAGTGTAGTGGGTAACACCTCTGCCTTCTACGCACGCTGTAGACTGGGCACCCTGCACTATAACAATAAGAGTCCTTGGGCAAGACTCCTAACACTGCTGTTGCCTACTTGTGTAAAATGATCAAACTGTAAGTTGCTCTGGATAAGAGGGTCTGCTGTAGATGTATTTTTTTATTTTATTATTCTGAAACTTGTTTTGACCTCACCTCCAGTGGTCTTGACAAGACCAACTGCCAGTTGCCAAGCCTGCATGTATCTATTTTAATCGACCACAATTCATTAATTGGTGTTAATTGGTGGATTGAGTATTTTAAACTTTCACATGGGGCCAGTTGGTCACAGGACTTGTTCTTCTTCAATAAATGAAATGACCATTTAAAAACTGTGCTTTGTGTTTGTTCAGGTTGTCTTTGTCTTATGTTTAGTTTTGTTCAACAATATCTTAAACAATTAACGTGATGAGGGAACAAATCATGAGGAAGAAATGCTTTTTAATGGCTCTGTACATGTGCTTGTATATGTACATGTTGCGATCCTCCCTACCTCAGCGGGCACTAAGACTTCAGGTGCCCCAGCTGCTTCTATACATGGCATGCTGCCCAGAAAACTGCCCGGTAACATTTTATTTGGAGTGGCCCTTTGTAGATGATTAATAAACTCTTAGCAGATTATCAGTAACACATCAACAGCATTTAGATTAAGATTAATTGACCATTATTAGTCCCAATACGGGGAAATTTCACCTCCTCATTTGACCCATCCGTGCAGTGGAACACCACATACACACTAGTGAATGCACACACACCAGGGGACAGTGAGCACACTTTCCCAGAGCGGTGGGCAGCCCTTTCCACAGCACCCAGAGGGCAGTTAGGGTTAGGTGCCTTGCTCAAGGGCACTTCAGGGTACTGTCGGCTCAGGGGATCGAACAAATGACCTTCACTAACCTCCAGCCCATGACTGCTTAACATATCAGTGAAGTAGCAGAGGTGCAGCATCTGAATACATTTTAGTAAATATCTTGTAGATGTTCTGTTGATACATTACTTACATTAAATAGATGTATTGTTAATATGTTACTTTCATTAAGCAAAACCTAACCTTACCAACCTTAACCCAAAACCTAGCCCTCACCCTGGCCCATAAACTCTAACCCTCATATGTTTTTGACATGTTACCAAAAGTCAGTTGAGTGTTTGTTTCATCTAAAAATGGCCACCCAAAATAAAGGGTCACCAACTGCCCTGATGGCCTCTTACTATAATAATGGCTCTTACTATGGTTGACTGGAGTCACACGCACTAAACATGACAACTGATGAGTGTAATCAGGTGTGTTTGACCAGGTGAATCACCAAACTGTGCTGGACACCGGCCCCCTAGGACCGGAGGTGTGCACCCCTGGTCTAGAGGATGTGCTGTTAGAGATTGTCCCCCTCCCCCCCTGTGTCTAACCTTTGTGATGGGAACAGTTTTTCAGTGCATGGGTTTTGTGATGAGAGCATGGTTACTCAGCACTTACTCTTCCAGCACAACCTTCTCCAACAACGCCTGTCAAACCATCATGCTCAGCTCCGCACTCCACTTATCCACCTCTCAGGGAGCAACCGTCTGGCCACCTACGCTGCCGGTACCTGCCCAAAGTGTCGCTGGAGGGCCGTGGTCAATATCACTAGGTCTTCCTATGAAAGTTGATCTTGTTGAGGCCAGCAAATCTCACAGTTTCTTAAATGTTTGTCTGGATTATTTTGTGACTTCCTGCATGGGTAATCTCTGTGGGACTTTGGCAGGCCGACCATTTCTGCGAAAATCTGTTCCAAGTTTCTCCCCAGGCAAATAATGGATCTTACTATGGTTGGCCTGAGTCCCAGAGCTTCTGACATGGCTTTGCCATCCTTTCTGGACTGATACATTTCAGTAACTTTCTCTCTCTCATCTCTTCCGGGTTTTGTATTGATTGTGGTCCCTCTGCTCTCAAGCAATATTTTCACATTCTTCTTTTCCATCTTTAAAAACTAGCAATTATGTATTACAAGGTGAGCAAATGCAGAGTCTGAATTATAATAATGTTTTTATAGCTAAAATAACTTGTATAAACAGCATGCTGACCAATTGTGCATTGCGTGTATTGACCAATATATCTTACAGTACTTTGACATTGAAAATACTTTTTTTTTAATACAGTATGAAGCAAGCAAACTTGGTCTTAACCTTTGATTGTCGCTTGGCAATATGGTGACAGAAGGATAATGAACTGTCTAACCACATGCCTAGTTATTCATACGCAGTGACCTGTTCCAGGATGGCCCCCTCATTAGTAGTAAATTTGAAAGTAGGGGTGTTTGAGGCACCTTTCCAACCAAACCACTTGGTTTTTGAAATGTTTAATGGTAGTTTAAAGTTAGCTGAGGCATTCTGAACCTGAAGGATGTTATCCTGGAGTACAGATTCAGGAGAAGAGCCATATAGTATAGAATCAGTATGTAAATAAATGAAAGCATCACCAGCAGCAAGGAGAGTATAAGAATATGAATATGTACACTATGTTATACTGTATGTCATCAGAAGCAGGTCATTATGAAAGGAAGCATAAAACATATTTTCCACCCATAATTTATAACAGTTGCGCAAAAAACCATGGTGGACGGTGGGGATTGCTGGCCCCATAGGGGAATGTAGTCAAAATTTCTTGCAACACTGGATGGACAGTTGTTGACTTTAGGTCTGTCTGTGAGACGTAATCAGAATGTACAACTGTATGAGACCAATGAGAGACATGAAGCCTAGAGTAGAAAAAAATACCTACATCAAATGTAGATGCATAGTTATATACACAAATATTCCTCATGAAATGTTTACACACTATAAAGGGAAACTGGTGTAGCAATAAAAATAGAGAAGGTTTCACCGACAGTGATGATGTACATCAGCTGAAGCCTCATTCAGAGGTGTGTGGTATGTGTTGTGTGGTCTGTGGGTTATTATGTGCATAGCAACATTTTTGTCTCACTTCTAACATTCACTGGCTATGACAGTCACAACCCAGGGCCAGATCTTACAGTCTCATGCCAAATGTTTTGCAAAACAGCAGAGATTTCATGTTTCACCATTTCTCGAATGGAATATACAGTGACAAGCAAGACATACGTGAACTGGCAAGGAAAATGCAGGTTAATTTACTCAAGACAAGTCAGGCTTTATTGTCATTTTAGCTATATACAAGTACACAGTTAAACGAAACAACATTCCTCCAGGACCATGGGGCATCACAGGAACACAAGTGTGAGACAATACAATATA